GACCCAAGTGAGTATCATGAAAAAGCTATGCTGCTGGCTTGGCTCCAAACAATTTGAGCCAATTTAAACCATTGTTAGCTTTCTTGCTGATGGCAGAGTAGAGGAGTAAACTATCTGAAACAGGAAAACTATTCACTCTTCTGATCATCTAAAATTCCATAAGTGAGTTTGGACCCTTTGAGCAACTATCATAATTTTGGTTTTCTAGTAGTTAGGTTCTAGCAGGTCTTCCTTGCAACATTGTCTTAGAGGTCTTAGTGCTGTTGAAGGCCAATAAGAGTCCTTGAGAATATCACTGTATTGTCTGCTACAGTCGGATGGAAAAGTGTACCCAGCAAGTTTTGGAGAGTGAAAGTCTTGAGTTGTTGAGTTGACCTACCATGGAGTTAATATAAACATTAGAATAGAATAACAGAGTTGGAAAGGACCTTGGAATCATAGTGCCAGTATGTAGCCTTATTTGGTACTCTTGCAGGTTTCATTAGTACTAGCAAGATGGCCCTGGAGGTTTCACCTTACATTGAGCAACATGCCTTCATGTAGCATTCGTATTAGGTATAACATGCATCAGATAATTGACATTGCCTACAGCTTCTCCCCCAGTTTGATGCATGCAACGGAATCCAATGCTGCTTTAAAATCTAAACGCAGCATTGGAGGGTCATACATTTTTCAATGAAGGGCCAAAGTACTACCTAGTCTTTAGCTCCCCTTTCTTTTCAACAATCCTTTGGTTGCAAAACACCCAGAGTATGGTTTTAATATGGCATATAAATGTTTCAAGTAAATAAATGATTAATATCCCCCAAAACAGAGCAATTCAGTTATTATATTTGTTCAAAGTTTGCGATAACTTCATTAAAAACTATAGAAAAATTCTTTTATTGGCATGTAGTGCTAAACTCTGCCAAAATGAAAATACAGAACTGTTACAAAAGAAATTTACATATTGATTCCGACATTGTAAAAAGCACCCTTTTAATTGATTTCTTGATAGTATGGACAGTTTCAACAGAAAATAGGAGGAAAACTTCCTATCCCTAATTAGGAGAATATTCCAGATGAAATACCCATAGCTTTTTCTTCAAAACAAAAGTTTGAACCTTCAGTGACAGAAAAAAGCCCATAGTACTTGTTTTGAAGAAGTCACATTTGCCGTTTAAAATTGTTCAAAGCTAAATTGAATAACATAAAAAAAAAACTGCAGAAAAAAAATCCAGTAATTTGAATGCATACGTAACTGGAAAGCATGAGATGTCTTACAAAAGGAACTGACAAATCGATTAGGAAATGAAACATTAAGAAAACATAAAATGCAGATATGCATAAAATAAACACAATAGAAAAGCTATCCATTATGTAAACTATGTAAGTGGTACATTGCAATGCTTAGGGAGAAGTACAAGCGGAAAACCTTGACGGAGGGGATAGTTCTGCCATCCTTAAAAAAGAAACGGTTCATCTTGCGAGAGAAAGAAGTTGGGATTGCTGCCTGCTCTTTGTAAGGCAATAAATAAAGTTAGGGTAGCTGGCAGACAAGCTGCTTCTCCCCCCCTTCTCCTCAGGCATTCATCCATTCCCTCAGAACTGCACTAATAGGGACATTCAAGCCTGGCTAATTGAGCCACACCCTGGTGTTTTCAAGGACATGCTGACCCAGGAGCAGCTTCACCCCACCCAGTCTTTTCAGCTTACAAAAGCAAATGCTGAGACAGAGGGAGAAAAGAAGGTGTGTATAGCAGGAAAGGTAAAAACAAAGGGCCTATTGAGGAAGAAGCAGAGGTGATGTCTGAAGAATAGCCAACAGCAATAGACTTATATACCGCTTTACAGCCCTCTCTAAGCAGTTCACAGAGTCAGCATATTGCCCCCAGCGATACGGGTCTTCATTTTACTGACCTCGGAAGGATAGAAGGCTGAGTCAACCTTTAGCCGAGTAAGACTCAAACTGCTGGCAGTTGGCAGGCAGCAGAATTAGCCTGCAATACTGCATTCTAACCACTGTGCCACCATGGTACGCTCCCATAGAGAGGGGCTCCTCCGGGTGCCGTCGGCCAAACAATGTCAACTGGCGGCCCCCAGGGGGAGAGCCTTCTCTGTGGGGGCACCTACTATCTGGAAAGAGCTCCCCCCAGAGATACGGAGGATCCCGGATCTGCGCACCTTCCGCCGCGCTTTAAAGACCTTATTATTTCACCAGGCGGGCCTGGCCTAATTTTCTCCCTCTTTCATAAAAGATTTTTAATTTTTAAATATCTTTTAGTATTTTATACATTCAATTTTAAAATTGGTTTTAAATAGTTCAGGGTTTTAAATTTGTCGGAGCCAAAATTATTTAATTTGATTTTATTCTACTTTTAAATTTTGTATGGATGTGTTTTATTGTTTGGCTGTGCACTGCCCTGAGTCCTTCGGGAGTAGGGCGGTATAGAAATCGAATAAAATAAATAAATAAATAAATAAATAAATAAATAAATAAATAAATAAATGGTAATAGCAGCTATTACAAGCAAGCAAGGGGATGTTTATTCAACTGCCGGGGCCACCAGCCATGGTGAGCAAGCATATCCCAGAGTCAGACGGATTCCAATTAGTTTGGAGCTTTGCCTGGAGCTTGGCAGCAGCTAGAAAAGAGCAAGCAAACTGAAACAGCACCTCACCCCAATTCATGCAAGTGTTTGAATAAGGGCAAAGGCTGTACACAGGTAGTCGTCGACTTACAATAGTTCATTCAGTGACCATTCAAAATTACAACGGCACTGAAAAAAGTGATCTATGACCATTTTTCACAGTTACAACCTTTGAAGCATCCCCATGATCATGTGATCAAAATTCAGATTTTTGGCAACTGGTTCATGCTTATGATCATTACTGGGCCCCAAGGTCATGGGATCCCCTTTTGCAACTTTTTTTTTTTTAATTTGATTTATATGCCGCCCTTCTCCGGAGACTCAGGGCGGCTTACAATGCGTTAAGCAATAGCCTTCATTCTTTTGTATATTTATACAAAGTCAGCTTATTGCCCCCACAAACTGGGTCCTCAATTTACCTACCTTAGAAAGGATGGAAGGCTGCGTCAACCTTGAGCCTGGTGAGATTCGAACTTGCAGTAATTGCAGGCAGCTGAATGTTATTAACAGGCTATTAGCCAGCTGCGCCACCAGGCCCCCTTTTGCAACTTTTTGACAAACAGAGTCAATTCGGAAGCCAAGTTCACTTAACAACCAGATTACTAACATCAACTGCAGTAATTCGCTTAATAACTGTGGCAAGAAAGTCGTAAAATACAGCAAAACTCACTTAACTAATATCTTACTTAACAACAGAAATTTGGGACTCAACTGTGGTCGTAAATTGAGGACTACCTGTATGTGTTACTTTAAAGACTTCGAGTCTTTTGTTTGACTGAGTATTAGCAGACTAAGTATTAAAGTACTAATTATTAAAGACACGTTTATGAGGCAACATCAACTTGAAAACCTAGAAGGCTGGAACTGACCCAGAGCAGTAGGCCAACTGTTGGAGAATGAGTGTGTAGTAATGAAGTATTGTGTATAGATTTGTTATGCTGTGATGTGTTCAATACTTAAGAGAGCAGAGAATCTTCATACAGCTCCTCCTTAAGAAACCATCCCAGGCCTACCCATTTGGGGCAATTTTTACCGTCTCCAACTTCCCCTTTTTAGGGAAAATTGTTGAGAAGGTAGTTGTCTTGTTGCTTTAGAGGGCTTTGTATGAAGTGGATTGTTTGGACCAGTTGGGTTTTAGGACAGAGTATGTGACTGAAATGGCATTACCACACTTGGAGATGACATCTGGAAGGATAAAAATAGATAAAAATCATCTTTGCTCTCCTTGATTTTTTAGTTCTGTTCAATTCCATCAATAATAGTATCCTTCTGGACCAGCTCCAGGATTATGGAGTTGGGGGCACAATGTTATGTTGGTAGTCCTTCCTCCGAGGTCACTTCTAGTTAATGTTTATAGGAGGGGACAGGTCTGATCTACAGGTCCTCTTAGGTGGGATGCCTCCTATGATACTCAACTGTATCTCTACCCACAGTGTTGCTGTGGAAGTTCTTCTCAGAGCCTGGAAGCTATGGGAATCTGAATAGGGAAGATCAGGCTTGAACCTAACTAGACATATTTGTTTTGATTTGTTAGGGTCTCCTGGATCTGGTGGTTTTCCTTCCTTAGTTCTGTATGAGGTCCCTCTCCAAGAAAATCTTTGTAAAGTTTGGGTGTCCCTCTTGACTTGCAGCTCCAGTTCAAAGAGCAGATGGCAGCAAGGGTCAGAGAGCCTTTACACAACATTGTGTTGTTGACCAATTGCACTTGTTCTTGAATTGGGAGCTACTACACAGGCACTCATGTTTCATTTATATCCTGAACAGGTTACCGCAATGCATTCTAATTAGGCTTCCCTTGAAGAATATTCAGAAGTTTCAATTGATCCAGAATGCAGCAGCATAGACAATTATGAGTATGCCTCATTAAGCTTATGTAGATCTTTGTTCTCCTAGCTGCATTGCTACTCCCAATTTGCTTCTATGTGTAATTCAAGGGGTTGGTTATTACCTGTAAAGCCCTATATGGCATGGGGCATAACATTTGAGGGATCATCTTACTTTCATTATTTCTACCTATCCCATTGAATTGGGCAGGAAGGACACACACTGGTTCTCATAAATCAGGTATTGACATCCAGCTATGCCTAGGAAGTGTGTCTTTTCTGTAGTTGCACCTCTGTGTTAATTTGATACCTCTAATCTTGGACCTGCATTTTCTGCCCATAACTGTACCTCATATCAGGAATAAATGCTGATAGTCAGGATGGTATTGAAATACTGCAAATGGTCCTTGATATGAATATCATTTGATGGCAGAAAGAATCTCATCAACTTTAGATAAAAGACAAAATATTCAACAAGAAGATCCATAAAAATCAGTAGATAATAAACATTATGAAAATACCAAGTCATGTCAAAATGAGTACCAACCTCTTCTTTTGTTTTCTTATTTTCTTTTCTTAAATCTTCATATTCACCAATAGCTATAAAGACAAAGAGGAATAATAGCAATACATTTAGAAAAAATATATTTGTTTTTATCACTTCAGTTAAGATTTTACTATAGTGTTAGACCAGTGTATACACCCAAGATTCCTCACAATTTGTAAACAGAGTGGTAAAGGAGGATCCAAACAGTAATATAAAAATAAATGACAAGGAATTTAAAAATAAAATTATAAGTTTATTTTTTAAAGAGTCACTCATGTTGGATGTTATTTGTTGCTGTGTTCTCACAGTTGCCGGGCAAAATCTGACCAATGTGTGGGTAACAATGGTTCTATGGTCTGCTAGAAGAAAAGAGATACACCAAACATCACCTCTGCTTGACAGTCCTTTTATGAGGGGTCTAATTACTCCTGACATAAGTCGCTATTAAAATTACAGTTTAGTTGAACTTGTCACACATTTTCTGCAGTATAGGAGTCCTGTAGTCAGAGGTATTCACTATCTTTCACTATCTACCTTTAGGATTGCTGAAGACAGTACATCAAACCTGGGGAGATAAATTTGATATATATAATTTGTTAAGGAATGACAATAGCTGGCGTAGTACTGTGTTTCCCCTAAAATAAGACATCCCCTGATAATAAGCCAATTGGGCTTTTGAGTGCATGGCAATAAGGCCAAGCACTTATTTCAGGGTTCAAAAAAATATAAGATAGGGTCTTATTTTCGGGGAAACACGGTAGTACAGGACAGAATCTAAGACTTATATTGCCTTTGTGCCATACTAATATCTTGCTGGAATTTTATAATCTGAGAATTCTCTTCTTTGGTACTTTTTTTTTTTTTTTGCTTGACCATATCTATCCTTTTATGGTCTTACTGGAGAAACCATATGCAGCTAATTTCATTTTGATATATATCTTCCATATAAATTGAAAGTCACTATTGTTTATCAAAGGAATCATATAACATACCATAAAATAATGAAGTAGTGAGTTTGTGAAATGAAATAATAAGAATATTAGATGTAAGAACAAGATAAAACCAGAGCTACAACTAAGAAGTATTTCCTTCTAAGTTTAAATGAAAGCAGAGCAACAGTAACAACCTGGTTGATAATAGTTGGACACATCTGCAAGAACATAGTTCAACTGTTCAAAATATCAGCCCTTGAGATCACCTACCATCAATCATTTGGCTTAATCTCCTTGTAAATGGGGCAGTGGAGGACATTGTAAGAATGAAGTCCTTCACTTGACCAATAGCCAAAAACCTTGTTTGACAGGACACTTGCAAATCTTCTTTTAAGATATGCTGAGAACATGGTCAGTGAGCAAAGAGATGTACACACCCGTGTCAGTGAGACACTGGTAATATTTACTAGGTACTGGGAAAGTTTTCTATATTTTTATAGTGACAGTACTAAGATGAAAATTTGGATGATTGTATTACATGGCATCTTTATTGCCATCCCTTTCAAAAAGCAATCTCTAATATTTTCTCTGTTCCTTGAAGGGTCATTCCATGTCAAGTGGTCTCTTTTCAGAAAAGTGCCCCGCTCGACCATCACGGATTTTGATGAAATTTTGTGTGACAAAAATGCCTATATCTTCACAAGTATTGCATCAGCACACAAAACACTTTACCAATGTTCATTGGGGACGTGTGCATGTTTACACAAAATTTCATTGAAATCCATGATAGTCAAGCAGGGACCCCCAGACCATTTGACATGGAATAACCCAAAAGTTAAGTTAAGTAGAGAATATATTTGTAGCACAGGCAACAAAATTTGGTCCATTAATTCCAAACCATGAAATGGAGAAAATACAGTCTGTAAAAGTGGAATTCTTAAAGGCTTTCTAGTTTCTTAAAGTGCCCCAACAATGCAAGATGCATTCTCATACCAATGGAAAATAGCCCTATCTCCACCCTTAAGTAAATAGCAGGGAGCCCTGGGAAAACTCAAAAATCTTCCTTATGAATTTATTATTATTATTCCATTTGGGCAATTACCTTCTCATCCTACCACCAGAACTCAGCCCCATACATTATCTGGACTCTGGCCTTGCCCTGGAATATTTTAAATATAAGGGTCACAATCTTTAGAATCATTTAGAACTGAAAAACCTCCAAACAGTGCCCATTGTATCAGGGGCAGTTCAGGGGTCAAATGCTCCCGGTTCGGACCGTATCACCCAATCCGGTAGTGATGGAGGCGGGTGGTTCGAAGAACCGGTAGCAAAAATTCCTGGGCACCCCCATGCCTAGCTGAGCCGCACAATCATCAGAGGCTTTTTTTTTTTTACTTTTAAAAGCATTTTTTCTACAACCTCTTCGGCCGAAAAAATGCTTTTAAAAGTAAAAAAAAAAGCCTCTGATGATTGTGCAGCTCAGCTGGGATCGTCAAAGGCTTTTAAAAGCATTTTTTCTACAACCTCTTCAGAGCGAAGAGGTTGTAAAAAAATGCTTTCAAAAGGCTCTGACGATCCCAGCTGACTTGCCTGATCAGCAGAGGCTTTTTTTCTTTTAAATGCCTGACGATCAGGCAACTCAACTTGGATCATCAGAGGCATTTAAAAGAAAAAAAGCCTCTGCTGATCAGGCAACTCAGCTGGGATCGTCAGAGCTTTTTGAAAGCATTTTTTTACAACCTCTTCGCCGGAGAGGTTGTAGAAAAAATAGTTTTAAAAGTAAAAAAAAAAAAAAAAAATTGGCCACGCCCACCAAGTCACATTATCACCCCCCCACCAAGCCACGCCCACAGAACCAATAGTAACAAATTTTAGATTTTACTACTGGGGCAGTTGCTAAGACAGTATTTAAATGTGTTTTCCACGTAAGGGATTTATGAAAGGTAATATCTAGGCATTTAAAAGAAGAGCACTGCTCTATTTGTTGGGCGTAAATTTTCTATTTGCATTTAGTATTGTTCCTGCCAGATCTATTACTTTTGTTTTATTATAATTTATGCTCAATTTTTCCATTTCACAATAATCAGCTAAAATGGCCAATAATCTTGTAAAGCCAATTTCAGTATAGGAAATAAAGAGCCATGCCAATGGCATGCACTAACACTTAATTTTTCCATACATTAGGTGAAAGGAAGAAAAACTTTGTGATTTCATAGCCACTAGCAGTATTATTAATGTAAGAGTTAAATAAGAAGCAAACAAGAAAGAAACAGCCCTGTTTGCCTTTTCTGTCCAATAAAATAGGGCAGGGCTATCAAACTCACGGCCCACAGGCCAGATGTGTCACACCCTGGCTACGCCCATGCCTGGTTTAGCGAAGGGGAAAAAAGTTGTGATACATCACGTGATACCACCGTGTCAACACGAGTTTGACACCCCTGAAATAGGGTCTAACAAGGATCCTAGTGGGCCTAGTTTATGCTGCCTGGTATGAGCCGAGGTAGTGCAGTGGTTAGAGTGCAGTACTGCAGCTACTTCAGCTGACTACTAGTTCAGCAGATCAGCGGATCAAATCTCACCGGCTCAAGGTTGACTCAGCCTTCCATCCTTCCGAGGTGGGTAAAATGAGGACCCAGATTGTTGGGGGCAATATGCTATTTAGTATACTGTCTTTGGTGTAACCCGCCCAGAGTCTTCGGAGAGTGGGCGGCATAGAAATATGACTAATAAAATAAATAAATAAAATATAGTTCAATTATTAGGTTTTAGTAGGGATTTATCAAGGTCTATCTTAACTAGTTTGTCCCACAGGTGAGAGCTATCAATTAAAGAAGGCAGAGGGAAAGTCAATCAAGGCAACATAGAATTGCTTTGTATGTTTGTTATATTTATGAATAAGGGTCTTCATGATACAGCGATTTAATTTACTATGCCCTTTCTGAAAACCTGCCTATTCTGGATAACTAATAAATAATTCTTTTTCCCAATCTTTTCATTTATTAAGAAGTAAACTTTAGAAGAAGAATAAAGTTTAGAAGTATCTAGCAGATTAATTGGATGGTCACAGGTAGTTTCCTACCCATTGTCCTTTTGAAGATTGGGTATGCTATATCCAATTTATTCCAGTGGGCAAGTACAACATTATCTATTTTTGAAAAAGTTTAGTCAGGAAGGGATCCCACATGGAATCATTCAACTTATACATCCCTGGAGATTTCATATCCTTTCTAGGAGTTATTCTCTTATGCTTAATTCAGTAGATGCTGTTGTTAGCTCAGTACATGGGCAGATGTAAAAATGGTAGAATATGCTATCCAATTTTATGCTGAAACACATGCATGAGATATACAACTGTGTATGAAAATACTATTAGCCACCAATTCCTCTTTTTAAAAAACTTAAACTGAGGTAAATTTCTTCCACTGAGTCCTAGGAAGAGACAATGATAATGATGCCATTCATTCATTCATTCATTCTTACATTTATTCATTCATAAGATTTATCAGTCTGTTAGATATCTATTATGACTCCATATCTAAGAGTTACCATCCTATTGCTTACTTGTAAACCTGCAAAATAACTATTCTAATTAAATTTAGCATTTAAACATTCAAAAGTCAATAAATGCATTTTCTCTGTAAATACAAATATTACCTTTTAAAATTTTGAATTCTTTTTTTAAAAAATAAAGTTAATGTATTTTTAAAAGCTAAATATTCAGCAGCAAGAATTGTACAGGCAGCCAATGAAGCTGCAAAATGACAACATAAATGGAAGACTAAGCAATGGACAACTATTTTGAAAAGTAGGATGGTAATATATATGGAACGATTATCATGGAAGGGAATAAATATAACAAGATAACAGACTGAGAAACTATTTGTCATGAAGTGACTCAGCAAATACAGTAAAGGAGGGAACATTGCACAAAAATAATATAGTTTAAATAGAGGAGTTGCCTCTAGAAAATTTCTGCCAAATTCTTAAATTGTTGAACTGAAAAGGGGGAAATAGCTCTGAAAGAGGAACCTACTTTCAGAATTGTGTGGGGGCTTTCAAATCATGGTCTTCCCCATTTCTTAGATATTTGTAATAAAAGCACAAAATGTAAACCTTAAGAA